TGCCTGTGACCACACCACTATGGGATACAATATTCAAGTTTGGCTGATAGCCCTGCATGATGTACTAGCACTTGTCAGAAATGGCTAGCTGCGGAGTTACAAACTCACTTGAAATGGATCCCAAAGGACGCTAAGACATGAAATTCTCTCAGTAGGGAAACTACATGTTCACATAAATGATCAGAAATATATTGGGCTCTCTCTCTCTCTCAAATAAAAATAAAAAAAAAAAAAAAAAAAAAAAAAAAAAAAAAAAAAAGAAATATATTGGGGCTGGTGAGATGGCTCAGTGGTCTAAAGCACCTATTTAGAACAAGCTTAACAAAGCACAGGGACCGCGGTTCAATCCCCCAGCACCACATGCCAGCCAGCCCCGCCCCCTGGTGGGCTGAGCTGGCCACACACACACACACACACACACACACACACAAATAAAAAATTTAAATTAAAAAAAAAAGAAATATATACCCTTACTCATGAGGAGTTGCTAGTGACTTGAATACATGGCCAAGGACTTAGAAAGAATAGGACTGAAATCCTGTTAAGGAAGCCTAAGTAAAAGGCATTTGGATGATCCCCTTGGAATGGGCACACAGTGAGGACATTCATGTTCAACAAATGAGCACGAGAATCCACTTTGGAAGATCTCAATCAGACAAAATGTCCTGTTCTGTGGATGTCAGCCGACTTCTGTCCTGTTACCCTTTCCTTTGCCCAACAGACTCTTGAACAGAATAATCATGGCGGAAAGCACGGGCTCCACAGCAAGGACTACAGCCAAGGTCAGTCTGGTTCCAGCCATTGCTGAATGCCCAAGCTACCCACAGAAGTGAAGCACCACTCTCCTCTATGGAATGTATCTTGGTGGCAGCTGATTACAGAGACAATAACAAGAGGAAATGCTGCCACTGGACCTCCAAATTTCTACTGGCAAGCAGACTGGGTAAACTGCTCAGCTACAAACGTGTGCTACTCTTTATGAAATGGAAGGAAAGCATAGGAGATACGATCAAAAGCCCACAAGTCAGAGCCAAGAGCCATGGAGTATCATTCCCAAGCCTCGAAATCTTTTTTTTTTTTTTGAAGGAAGGAAAGGTTTATTTAGCTCACAGTCACTGGAGGTTTCAGTTCATACTCAGCTGGGTCCAACGAAGCCTTGAAATCTAATCAAAAGATTTCCATTTTTCCAACTGGATTTTAGACTTGTTATAGATCAATAACTCCTTTGTGTTCCCACCCCTATCCCCACCTCCATTTTTGGACTACACTTTCTTATCTTATGCCTATTCTACCACTGTATGTGGATATATTGGGGACAGACTTGTTCTTTACTTCTCCAAATCTGCACATGGAGAAAAATAGTATTTAAGAAGCCATACTTATGGGATATACCCAATGTGCTATAGTCACATCTGCACTGACTTAAGATATATTCTAGACTTTGAGGTGGCGCTGTAATGGGATGAGACTTTTAGAGAATTTGGGAAGGGATAAATGTGCTTTGAATCACAGGGGACTGGAGGAGAAACCACGGTAGTCAGTTCTCCAGGATTGCCCCTAGTGACCGCCACCTTCTGGTATTCACACTCTAGTATAATCTCTTGCATTTGAGTGTGGTCTGGACCTAGTGACTTCCAATGAATACACTACTGAAAAAGCGGTGGGTTTTTTTTTGTTTTTTGGTACCACAAATCAAACTCAAGATCTTGTGCTTTCCAGGCAGGCACCAAGCTGCTGAACTACATCACTGGCCCTGGGCTATCGTTTCTGAGATTAGGTTTTAAAGACTGACTTCTGTCTTACATGAGGCCACATTCTTTGTGGCTTCTTATAAAGCTCTCTCTGGCTCATGTCACCTGGTGCTGATGAAGCAAACTGATATGAACTGCCTTATGAAAAAAATCCATACAGCAAAAGATCCATATAGCTGGCCCACCACCAGCAAAAGGAATCCTGCCAACAGCATGCGAGTTAGGAAGCAGGTCCTTCTCCAGCTGAACTTTAAGATGCCTGCAACCCTGGGTGACACGTGGCCCACCCTTGAATAGAAATTCAGCTAAGTTACACCCAGATTTCAAGCCACAGGAACTAATAAGGAAATCTTGCTTGAAGCCACTATGTTTTTTTGAAGTCATTTGTGACACAATGCATAACTAAGACAGGCCTGGTGCTCAGGTACACCCTTAGCAAAAAGGGCTTTACCTATCACCAATAGGACTATAACACTGCTGAGTTCCCAACCTACCATAACAGCAGAGCGCAAGAGTCCCCATTATGATCCTTGTGGCAGACTGGTAACTTGGATCCCATCTGATGTACAGATGCTTAGATTCACAAGACTGTGACAACAGTTGTCCTAGGTTTGTTTCTTGTGTCTATTGCTGACTTTGTAAAATATCTCAAATAGATACTGCACCCAGTTGGAACACAGTCTAGCTTCACAGGGGGCTGTTTCCTTACCCCACAGGGAATGTAAGTCTGCCAACCTCTTTCCTTCAATTTCAGGTCTTTTGCAAAGCATGGTTTGTCTGCCCCTTCAAGGACCTGTTCATCATGGACCTGACTTAGGCCCCACTCTCGTAGGTGGCACCCTAGAACTTGAAGCAAGCAAAAGGAAACAAGACCTGTGTCTCTCTGTTGCTCCTGTCTGCCTCCTTCTGAGCCCACTGTGCAGGCCCTGGCCTGGAAGATAAGACTCAGGCCTAGGCCTTGCCTTCCCTCCACAAGTCCCAGGATGCAAAGCTTGGGAATGGGAGCAGAGACCCACTAATCCTAGTGTTCTACACACTTAATATACAAATGGAGACACTGATATGGGGCAGATCTCAGTTGACCTGAGGGCAAAGTTGGGGGACAAGTGTTCAATAACAATACATCACCCCATTTCAGGGGCCATCCTGAGGGATGTAACAATGTCTAGGAAGGTGCAGCAGCAAGGCATTGTTTCAAAAGTAGAAAATTACTTTTAAGGAAAGATGATACCTTCTGCTTCCCTGCTTTCATCCTCCGTTGTGGCAGGCCAAGCTCTCAGCCACTCACTCTTCTTTCTAGGGGAGAATGCAGTCAGATGTGGAACCATGAAAGCTCTCTGGAGGAGCTTAGATTTCATGTGAGTCCTATAGGATGATGGCTATAGCCTCTCCTACAGAGTTCATGGGAAGGTGATGGGAAAAACATGTCAACAGTGTGATGGGGTGGGGAGGTACCAAGAAGGAAAGGTTGTCTCAATACTGGTGAGGGTTGCGCCCATACTTTGGAGGCCACAGCCCCTGGGCCCAGCAGTTCTCTAAACGGGGAACTGCTCACCCACCATCTCTTCCTCCCCTGCCTGGCTGTCTTGGATTGGTAGTAAACGTGCCAAGACTGAAGTGGCACCTGGAATCAAAGTGGGCACAGGACACTGGCTTGGTACTACCTTCTCCCTCTCTGTTGAGCTCAGAGCCCAGAGGCTGGATGAGGCAGACTTCCCATCACAAACATGCCAGAGTGGGCCTCCTTACTCATCACTAAGTTATCATTGGAATAACTAAGCTACCAACTGGAAAGCCTGGCAAAGAGAAATGGAACAAAAGGAACCTCTCAACACACAAATTAGGAAGGAAAAATAGCAGGGCACTGTAAGTGCCTGAGCTGAGGGTCAGAACTAGGCCTTTAGTATTTCTGTGCAGTCCTTGAGAAAAAGCCCTTGAGGAACCAGGCATGACAAGAAGCTGGCTTCTATGCTTTTTTTCCTCTATGCCTTTATAACCTGGGCAGACTTCAAACACAGAACACTTTAGGACCACAAAAAAATGGTCAAGGGTCCCTTTATGAAGTGGATCCAAGTTTGTTCGTCTTGCCTTTAAACACATTTGCAGATACCCACAGCAAGATGCAAATAGTCTGGGGATGGTTCCTGATCTAGTCCAGGACCCACATCTTAAGATTCTAAGGACTCAGAAGGGTGAAAAAATCTGTCCAGCTACAATGAGACTACTAATGAGCTTGAAACCATTAAGTGAAAGACACCAGACACAAAGAATCACATATTTTATAATTTCATTTATATAAAATGTCCAGAGTTTGCAAATGGGGAATGGGGATAGAAAGCAAGAAGGATAACTAAAGAATGGAGTTGGGGGGTGAGGTGGTAAAAACATTCTAAAGTTTTTGCAGTGATAGTTGCACAACTCTGAATACTAAAGCCACTGGACACTTCAAGTGAACTATATGGTATGTGAATTTTTTTCTCAATACAGCAGTTTTCAAAAAGTGAACTGAGAAATTACAAACAACCATGTATCTGGGCTTTGGTCCCTATTCATGAGGGGCAGAATCAATGGAAGCATCAGGGATGAGTCCCTGAATGTGGCATATCAATTAGACAGGAAAAGTAAAATTATATATATAATCTTGATCTTTTTTTTTTTTTTTTTTGGCAGAACTGGGGATTGAACTCAGACCCTTGTGCTTGTCAGGCAAGCACTTATTATACTGAGCCATCTCCCCGGCCCCTATAATCTTGATTTTAAGGTTAATGTAACATCATAGTTTTTAAACTAGTGACAAGGTCTATACTTCAGAAATAAATGACTCACCAAATCACATTTAAAACAGCTAAGTTTCATGACATGGAACTTGTACCTCACTAGAGCCATGAAAAAAAATCTCTCTGAAAACCAAAGGAGACTTAAAGAGTACAAAGGTGGGGAAAACTGCTGTGCAGGTTAGGTGAGTGGCCTGGAACCCACGCCCCACCTTCGGAAAATGATCGGGGGAGTGTCGGGATGTCTTGCCCAAGTTTAAACTGGTAGGACTCAGATGCAGGGATCCTTGGCCTGAGCCCCTGCACCCTACTAGCACCACAGGTGCTCCACTGACAGGTAAGGGAGGCACCACTCTCCCCTTTGAAGAGAAAAGCACTTCAGAAACATGTTTCCAAAAAATGTTGCTAAGGGTTTTATTTCTAATAAGAGGAAAATAATAAAATAAAATTAAAATAGGCTTCAGTTGGAACCAAGTTTGCTTTTTTTTTCCTTTGAACAAATTAATTACACACCAACAATCTTCTTTTATTACAACAGGAACCCAGGAGGAGGAAAGGAGACAGAGGACAGGGAAGGCGGTTGAGGTGGACGTGAGGACAAGCACCAAAAGCTTTCTTCAGATCACAGGGAGCCCTGTTTAGCCCCCCACCAAATTCCTTTAAAATAAAAAAAAAAACTGTAAGCACAGCTATGTGAAGTTTCCTCCTCCTGGGTGGAACAGTCGGGAAGGAGAAAGCAGGAAGAGGAAGAAAAGGACAGAGGGAAGAGGGAAAAAGGGAAGGAGGAGAGAGAAGGCGAGGAAGAGGGGAGATTAGTGTAGCATGGCCCGGCCAGGCCAGAGCTGGGGAAAACCAGAAGAGGACCCCACCCCAGCTTGCATATGCACTGGCCTTGTCTCTGGAATGCTGCTGGCCCAGCCCCCGTTGCCCCCCTGCCCATTTGTCTTTTGTCTCAGGTGTCTGGGAATGCTGGTTAGAGGTTACCAGGGATGGGGCACTCCAGGGGCCAGCCCCCAGGAGCTGAGGTCTGAGTACCTTGGAGTCAGAATATAAAAGTCAAAGGACTTGGGGGTGGGGGTGGGGGGTGGGAAGGGTGTTAGGAAGGGGGGTGGCCATCCCCCCCTACTGGCCCAACTCCAAAAAGCAGGCTTGATGGTCAGAAAGAGGATCCTTGAGGCCAAGGCAGGGGGTGTCTGTTGGGGTCTGTGCTAGGCTCAGCCACTGTCACAACTGTTGCTGAGACGGCTGCTGTGGGCAGGGCACATGCAGCCGGGAAGTCAGAGTAGAAAAAGGGGCAGAAGGGCTTGAAGTAGCCCCTAGCGCGGGTTCCAAGTCATCCTGGTTCTCCTGGGTGCTGGGGCTGGCAGTGGTGGGGAGGGGTGCAGGGGGGGCCTCACCCCCAGTCTCCTCCTCCAGCTCCTCCTCCTCCTGGGCTTCCTCGGCCTCTGGCCCTGAGCTCCGTACCCTCTTTGGCTCTAGCTCCTCTCGAGCTGGGTCTTCGCCCTCCCCAACCCGATCCACCTTCCGCCGCCGCCGTTTCTCCAGGGCCCGGCCCCGTGCCCGACTCCCATGGCGCTCTGCCTTCTCCAGCTGTGATTACAGATAGGCACAAAGATAGGTTGTGGGCCAGTCAGCATTCCTGGGCTCCTGACCCAGCCTATGACCCCTCCTCACCTCTAGAAGTGTCTGGATCCGCTCCAAGTCGGGAGGCTGCCCAGCCTGCAGCAGCTGCCAGATGCTGTGGTTCTCATCCAAGGTCACCTCAAGCAGATCCCCCTCCATCATTAGCTCCTCCAGGGGGCCTCGGGTTGCCTCAGGTAGTTCCAACACAGGGCCAGTCAATTGTGGCAACAGTGAGGACAGCAGTTCCAGGTCTGGTGGTAGGTTAGAGGGTAAACAGGACACAGGCTGAGTTAGAGGCTGCCCTTGATCGTAGCTCCCACCATGACAGAGTTGAAAACCACAGTGGTCACTCTGGTGATATCAATAGCCTACCCACACCACATCTAGACCTACCTCTCTTACCTAAGCCTTCCTCTGGGGTCACCTTCTCAGGACTGGTCACACCATCGCCATTCTCCAGCAAGCCCTGGGCCTGCCAAGGAGAACAAGAATGGGTAAGGGCAACTGAAGAACCAGGCCTTATTTTTTCTCCCCCAAACCCAAACCTGGGACCTTCCACCTCCTAGAGGGCAGACACAGCTGACAATAGGGAACAGTCTAGGGATGTGGACAGATGTAGAATGGGGCTCAGAGGCTGAAAACTGGAGCACAGGGTCAGAGCTGGAGCCTCAACAGTGGCAGGGGCTAGGAGACAGGCATTTGAGGACAAGAGCTGGGCTGCGCAGCTCACCTTAGGCATATCCTTGCCACTGCCCTCTCTGAGAGAGTCAGAGGCAAGGGCTGAAGGGTAAGTTGGGGGCTCCTCGGGCCTGGGTTCAGCCTGTAGCCGTTGGCGGAGGTCAGCCAGCCGTCCCAACAGAGCAGTCACATCCTCAGCGGCCAGAGCCTGTCGGGCACGGCCTTGCCAGCTGATGGCCCTCTCTGTGAGGCACTGCAGGGCCTCGCCCTCGGGCAGCCGCACAGGCAGTCTCTGCAGGGCTACCAGCAGTGCCAGGATGGTTTCCAGGCGTGGGCGCCGTGAGCGCATGCACAGTGGGCACAGGAATTTGGTGTCCCATTCCCACCAGGCCAGCAGTGGGGATGAAGTGGGACTGGGCCTCGGGGAGTTGAGGAGACGGGGCACTGACACACACCTCCCATGGAACCAGTCCTGACACAGGTCACACTGCAGAGCTCCCACCCCGGCTGGCACTTGCCCACACACACAGATGGAGGTTGCAGAAGAGGCTGTGGTTGACGATGCCAGGGGACTGGGTTTGGCTGAGTTGGTACGACGTAACTGCAGGATACCTTCCTTTTCCTTCTGCTCCCCCTCCTTGAAGGCCACGATCTGCCACGCCCAGGACAGGGGGAGAGTAGGTCAGCAGCCTTTCCCTTCTATTCTCTGGCCCCTTCAACACCCCACTCCCAAAGTTGGAGAACTGAGGCTCAGGGAGCAAGAAGTCTGCCCATGGTCACCGGGCTTAGACACTCTATCCTTGCCAAGCTTTTCACCCATCTGTGTCTAAGCTTCTTACCACAGAGCCTGGGTCCCTGAGGTCCTGCGCAGACAGCCCCAGCAGCTCTGTGTCAGATTTGTACAACCCCAGCTCCTTCTCCATCCAGCGGCTGCGCTTGGTGCTGTCTGAGCCGGCGTCTGCACACGGGCAGAGCACCTGAGGCAGGCAGACAGAGGGAGAATGACCAGGCTTCCCTACTGTCCATACCCTTTCCACTCCCCTCTCTGGTGCCCTCCTCCAAAAAGCTCATGTTCTCATATGAGCTATCTGCAATAGCCAGTCCAGGTGAGGAGAGGCTGTTGGTCAAGGTGCCAGGCCTCACCTCCAGCAGTGTGTAGCAAGAATTCTTCTTGAGGAAGGTCTTAGAGGCCTTCTCCCTCCAGGAGTGGGCTGTCAGTACCTGCAGCTCCAGCTGTCTCAGCTCCTCCAAGCCCACAGGGAGGTCCCGGCCTACAGCCACCAGGCCCTCCAAGTCATCCAAACAGGGGTAGTGGTCACCATTCTAGGAATGAGGGTGAGAAAAAGCCAAAGTTCATATGTGCCAATACCCGAGCATTATGCCATGCCTGGGCCCAAGTGAGCAAGATGAATTAAACTCAGTCTGAAGACAGAAGACAGGTATCATCCTAAGGACCTCATACTCTGCTTTCTCCCAAATGCCTGCACTCACTAACTCAGCCCCAGATATCCAGAAAGCCTTCCAGACCACTTGATTACTTTCTTCTGTGATTTGTCTCTTCCACTTGCCTTGAGGGACATGCCCTACTCTACCCCCATACTACCTGTCTCCTTGCCCCACTATCAGAATCTTAACCAGCACCTCATTTACTTTAGGCCGGCCTTATAACTCCTCACACTGCTCATTAAGCACAATTTGCCTCCTTACAATGTGCCCCATGCCCCTTCCTCTCTCTAGCCCATCCAAGGTTTGGGGTGTGTTTGGGGGCAACTCACTTGGATTTCATCCACATCAGCAATCCAAGCACGGGCTTTCGCAAGAGCCTCCTTGAGAGCCTGGATGTTGGGCAGGTGAACAGGTATATTTTCTGCTTCACGAATTATGGCCTCGAGTGTGGCTGGTGGATGCTTCTGCCTAAAGGTAGGGAAAAAGAGGAACTCAGACTGCTGTTTTACTGACCAGAAGCCCAGCCTGACCACAAGATCTATCTGTATGAACCCCATGAATGCTCATTATTTTTGCTTCCACTTGGGCCTACTCGCTTATATCCTGTCTATGGACGGTTGCCAGTTCTGCTTCCTCCAGACTGCACATGCCCACGTATCCTTCTGCCACAGCTCTCACACTCTGTTTGTGTGCCAGTCTGTCAGGCTGCTGGCAGCGCCTACACACATGTGAAACCTTTGGCTTTAGTCTATCAGACTGCCCATGTGTGGTGTCTTCCTATGAATATCTGCCCATCTGCCTGCTAATTGTGCTTCTATGTGCATGCATCTGCTAGCCTACAGGGCTAGCCCTCTATAGAGTAAATCACTGCTTCTCCATCAGCCTGTCTTTGCCTCTCTGTGCCTAAGAAGTTGAGGGGTGTGGGACACAGAGAGTAGTTCTCTATGAACAGAGGAGAGTTCCTACCCTAACACAAGAATTGATGTGCAAGGTCACCTCTAGTTTCTCCACTAAACTGAGACATATAGTAGGAAAGGGAGTGTAAGAACTGGACCCACCTGGCCTCCAGACAGAGGTGAGCTTTCTCCTCCCAGCGTTCTGCAATGGTCAGAAGCTCCTGAAGCTCAGCCTGGGCCTTATCCACAGCAGGGCTGGGGGCTACACTGGCGCCTGCAATCAACAGTCCTCGCATGACAGCCAGGGTGCCCCTTTGGGCTGATGGGGCCAGTGTGCGTTTTACCTCATCCAGCCATCGAGCCTGCTCCACTTGCCGCTGGAGCTGCTGGGCCTCAGGCACTTCCACCCCCAGCTGCTGCCCCTTCTCCAACAGGGACTGCAGTAGCCCTGGACTGGAGGGCAGTGAGGCTAAAGCCTCACGAGCCTCAGCCTGGTAGGCCTCCACTTGTTCCAGAATACCCTACCAAAACACAAGATAAAGAACAAATACTTTAGCTGAGCCCACTTACAGACAACACGTGCCCTTGCCTCACTACTTTCTTATCCATCTTTTCGGAAAAGGGGAGTATAAAATGGGCTGTCTCCAAGCTCTGAGACAGTAGTTCCTAACACTGACTGCTCATTAATATGCCCTGAGAAAGTATGTTAAAACCCACATTTCTGGACCCTATTTGCTAGACTCTTTAATAGAGGTTCGTCAGGGTTTCATTTATCTCTGGGCTTCATTATGTCTGTAAAGGACCCTGCCCTCAGCACCAAGAGACCCTCTGCCCTAAGAAATCCTACACTAGGCTTAATCCTCACACAAACTAATGCACACACTGGTGTCCACTGCCCTCTCCATCCCACTTTCCTCTACCGTCATGAACTTTGTTCAACTTCAAAGGTCCAACAGCCACCTTTGTTAACTCTTCCTCTTCTACTTCTAGTAAACTTTCCCTTGACTCTGTATTCTTTCCTCATTTGCTTGGCACCTGTCCTTCAGAGCCTATGTCTAAGAGGCAGTTACTAGACCCCAGCATCGTATCACCTGCTATTTTCTCACATGTACATCCTGTCTCACGCAAATACTTTAAGCTTACTAAGGGAGTCCTAAATGGCCTGCTGGTCAGGTTCCTGGATCCCCTAAATCCCTCAACAGCCCATCCCTCCTCACCTTGACATCCCCAATCTGGTGCATGGCACAAGGCAGGTTGTTCATCTGGTCCAGAAAGGCCCGGAGCTCAGCCAGGGTCATCTGTAGACCAGCCACCCTGTGGGGGCTATGGAGTTTCACATGTTGGCTTTCAGGGCCAAATCCAGTCCCCTCCCTCCATCTCCTTACTAAGATTTACATCTATCCTCACCACACCAATCCACTTTGATCTCACAGCTCAGAATTCTCCCAATTGCAAGGCCGTAAGGGAGAGTTTTAAAATATAAGTATGTTCACAGGATGAAGAAAAAAAATTAAGAGACAAAAATACATCTTTTTTTCAGGAGTAGAGATAACTCAGAAACTAACTGATAACAAAAGCTGCACTTCTTCTTTTCTGTGCTGGGGATGGAACCAGGACCTTATTACCTGCTGGACAAGCACTCTACCACTGGGCTGCAACTCCAGCCTGAGTTTTTAATCCATCCTCTAGTATGAACCCAAAACTGTGCAGCTATGCTCAGGTTTACATGTCAGTGTACTGTTTTTGTCCCTAAACCTTGCACAGCTCTTCTCCCTGCACATAAAATCCCATGGCCTATCTCTCAAATCTTTTCACAGGTACTGACAAAAATAAACACTTTTAGCTTAACAGGGAGGCTCCTCTCTCCATGCGCTATTTTTCTGGATTTCTCGCCCTCTCCAACCGCTCCCAGACCATTTCACACTAGTGCTTGACAACTTGCTGCTACTGTTCTATGCACCCAATAGCACTCAAGAGTCCACCCCTCACAGCACTTTTCCTGGGCACTGGAACCTCAGCTGGCTTGCTGAGATGCAACACATTATGCTGCCATACCCAGCTTCCTGGCCGCTGACCAATCCCAGAGCCCGGGACACGCAAGCCTCTGCCTCACTCAAGCAGTTCTTTAGCCGCTGTAGGAGCTCGCTGTTAGGAAACCTGCGCTCACGGGCCTCAGACTCCAGTGCCCTTAGCTCTTCAAGGCCTAGAAGGAGAATGAGAATAGCAAGGAGTATGCAGTATTGAGTAAAGTCAGAGGAAAGGGACTGGCAGTACAGAAGAAAAGGGAAAAGAACTTGCCTGTGGAGTCCCTCCGACCCCCCATCACTCACTGCGCTTCCGCCCATCCTCCACCTCCAGGGCCACTCGTACTTTGTTGGCCCACGTATCAAAGGATTCAGCTCGAACCTTCAGCTTATGCAGCATGGCTGGAAGCTCATCCAAGGTGTACCGATACCTGAAGGAGAATGATAGGAAGGGGCCTGTCTGGCCTAGCTCTGGATCCTCCTCCTCCATCCACCTCCCCAGGCTCCATGCTCACCTAAGGTACTGTCGGCTACTGGAGCACTTGCAGAGGTCGTTGATGTGGGAAAGGCAAACAAGACCATCTGGACAGTCATAGCAGGCCAAGGCAGACAGGAAGCATGTGGTCTTGCACTTGATGCACTGGCGCTCATCATCTGGGAGCAGCTCAAAAGCCTCTCGCTCAGCCTCTGTGATACCCTAGAGCCAGTCCACCCACAAGCATTATGCAAAACCAGACAGGTGGCAGAAACTTCCATCTCAGCCACCAAAGAGCCCTACTTTAGGCTCAGATCTGTGCTGAATGTCATGGAGGCTACGAGATCAAGGCTCACAGAGCACACCTACCCTTTAAGTCCAGACTCTGAAAATGAGGGTAGGGGGTAAGACAGAGTAGGGAAAAATCAGTGTGGTTGAGGTAGACAGATTTTCAGGGAGGAGAAAAACCAGGTAAGATTCAGAAAAACACAAAGGGCCTTTGGGCAAGAGGTAAGGAAAGTGGTAAACCAACGCCCTTAAGAGATAACTATGTAAGGTTCTGTCCTGGGGAATAATGCTGGCTGCCTAGCAGGCAGGAGACACTGACTGCATCTATATAGCTTAGAAATTCAACTGCCTTTTCTCATGTCCAAGGTTTAAAAATACAGGTTTTGTCCAAGAACATGGCTTCCAAATCAATGACTTCCATTCCAAAACTGAAGGAAAAGCCAGGTATTATTGGAGTGACTAGAGGACAACACAATGGTATATACTATGGGCAGCTTTATAGCTTTTATAGGTAAAAGTTAATTCTAAAGAGTTTTGCTTTATATATTGACTGCAACAGCTAACCACTGCCTAAACTATAAGCTTACTACAAATAACAACTCCTCCTCAATCACTCATCTGATGTGACTGTGGATAAATTAGTAAAATTTGAGTCTTAGTTTATCTTGTAAAATGGAGATTACAGTAGCATCCTCATTGGGTTGTTATAAACCGTAACAAACCAACTAAGGAGTTAAGTGGATTAATAGGATTAAGTGCTTAACAAAACTTATTAGCTGAGTTTATTAATAGCTGTAATCTTTAGATAAGAGATGTATTTCATTTGGCAAGGTAACTAAGTCTCATACAGTTAGTAACTTGTCAACAAGGATCTGACCAGCAAATTTTGACTCCGAAGCCAGAGAATGCTATAAAGAAACCCTTAGGTTTCTCTTGATTTTGGTATCCTCCAGAAAAGTACATCATCTCTTAAGGATTTCAAGAATATGAATGCTATTTAAAAACCCTCTCTGTGGTAAGGGCTAAGTGTACAGATTCATGCTGGGTGTGGTACTGCACACCTATAAACCTAGCACCTGGGAGGCTGTGGCAGGAGGACTGATGGGAGTTCAAGCTGAGCTTGGACAAAACTTTGTCTAAAAAAAAAAAGTGTATAGATTCTGAATGTCAAAATAGGTAGAAAGGTCTACTTTGCCTGTCATGCTTTGGCTCTATTCCATAGACTGGCATGGAGTATCATGTGCAGAGAAAACAAAGCAAATCGAAGAAAAGGCTGTTTCAAACACAGTCCAGAAGTATGTTCAATGCCAAAATAATCAGAAGTGGTGTAATTGGCTGTGAGGAAGGAAGCATGGCAGCTCTAGCGTGCTAACTTTATGACAAATCTAGAACCGTTTGACAACTGAATCTGCACCTGTGACCCATAAAATTAACTATTAATATAAAGTCTGGCCAGCTTAATGATAGGTAAAATTTATCTTTTTTACAAAGGGAAGTCTGGGAGGCCTAGGCACAGGGCCATCATTTATTAGCAGTAATGAACAGAGAAAGGAAATGATGCCTGGAAAAGGAGAAACTAACACCACAAAGACCCAGGCTTCTAACACTATTGTAGTTGAACTATTGTAAACTGAGATTCTATCTACAGTCCATGGTCACAGCAAAGTTATAGTTTTTTTGTTTTGTTTTATCTTTCTGAGACAGGGTTTCATAATGCAGTTCAGGCTGGCCTTGAAGTCATTCTCCTGCCTCAGCCTCCTGAGTGCTGGGATTACAGGCATGTACCATCGCACCCAGTTATAAATAAACTTTATTTTTACTTATTCATTTATTTTATGAATTTAGGACAGGGTCTACAGGGTGTACAGGGTCTCACTACATGGACTCATACTGATTCTCCTGTTTTCAGCCTCCCAAGTACTGGGATTACAGATGCATGCCACCATGCCCAGTCTCAATCACCATCTCAGTGAGTCCCGGGGGGGTAGGGTCAGCATGGCACGCCAGGGATCAAACCCTGGCCGTTGTGCTCTGCCGAAGCAGGCACTTTAATCCACTGAGCTATCTGGTTGGCCCAATAAACTTTAAATTAAGTAAAGTGTTACCTCAAACAGGCAGCAAGCAATCATACAAAATTTTTTTTCAAGTGCTGAGGATAAACCTAGGGCCTGTTACATCAAGCACTCTACCACTGAGTTATACCCTTGCCTCCTTTGTAACCTGATGAAGGACCGTCACTAACTCAATTCCCTAATAGGGCAAGTATGGAGCTTGAAACCTATTTGAATGGAGTGCCTTGTAGCAGCTTTCACTCATCTACATATACAACTGACACATGCTTAAGAGAAAGGTATTGAAGTAGAGCTGTTTTCTACTCAGTAATATTAGTACCCTACTTTAAATTATCAAACCGTTTGAATGTAAAAAAAAAAAAATCATTTCCTAAGAAACATTCCATATTTCAATGTCTGTGTATCAGTATTACCAATATTGCTATACTGCAAGTGCAGTAATAGATACTTTGACAAAGATCACCTCATTCAAACTATACAATTAGCTTCCAAGTTAGGTATTTACTTTCATTTACAGAATGAGAAAGTGAGACTATGAGAGTTCAACTCAATGTCGCCTACATAATTAGTAGTGGAGATTACCAGCCAATCTTGTTAGGTCATCTAAAAAATGATGAACTGCTACTCTGCCATTAGCCTTTTTGGGTCAGTTACTGAATAAATTATCAAATTATCACTGATTCACTCCACCATCCAAAAAGATAAGCATTATCATAATTCCTGTTTTTCAAATGGAAAAATGGACACTCAGTGAAAATAACCCAACTTGTCCAAGGTTGCCAGTAAAGGACAGAACAGAGAATGGAATGTGGTTTCCAATTTATATGCATCTAGTTCTTTCAACTACACTCCATCTTTTTGGTGCCTGCTCTGTCTCCCTCAATCTCCACCAGGCTAGGGTACTTGACACAGGGCACTCTTTTACCACTCACCTTCTCCAGCAGAGCCTTTCGCAAACGCCGCTCCTCCTGCACCATGATAAACATCTCCTTATGCACAGCTGCTGCCAGGTTCAGGTCCAGTTTCTCAGGGCAGGCAGCCATTTTGCAGATGAGCTCTTCATGGGAGAAGACGCAGTATCTTCGGAGTCGGCGATAATGCTCAATGCACTGGCGCCCAGCTGGTAGCTGTGGATAGGTTCAAGGTTGAGTATGGCCAGGTCTGAAGTCAGCAGTGCCTCAGCTTCCCCCCAAATTTTCCTGGCTTCTATCACATTCCAGACTCACCCAGTCAGCAGTGCAAAAGTTGACAGCCTCAGCAAAGTTGTAGCCTTGATTGAAGCCACTGTGGTAAGCACGAGGGAAGGTGATGACAAATTCTCCTGCACACTGGTTTGTGCGGACAACCTGAGGGAAAAAGAATTCCAAGGCCACTGAGATGAAGGTTTTCAAAGCCTGAAGAAAAGACCTAAATGCAGGGTCGTTAAGGAGACTAAATGAAAGCCTCAGAGAACACAACCTGACAAAAGAAACCCAGGATCTCCCAACTCTGAAAAGCCAGTCAACAGTCGCTCAAGGTTCTAATCTGTGTTGACAGACAGGAAGATGAGTCACAAATAAATAGGAAATGGAATTTTTTTTTATTTTGGAACCTGAAATTGAACTCAGGATCTCGTGCCTGCCAGTCAGGCACTGTGCCCCAGGCCTTAACAAATAAGAAATGAACCTATGAAAGTATTCACATTATTGTGACTCCCCTAAGTAAACTCCCCGCAATTCAGTACTAGGAAATGAACCCAAGGCCTTCGTATTTAGCTACATTCTAGCCCTTCTTTTCTTATATACTTTAAAATTCTGAGGTAGGGTTTCCCTAATTTGCTAAGACCATCAAGCTGGGCTCAGACTTGCAATTCTCCTGCCTAGGCCTCCCAGACTTCCCTTGTAAGTTGTTTTTTGTTTTTTGTTTTTTTTTTTCTTGCAGAATCGGGGATTGAATTCAGGCCCTTACTGAGCTATCTCCCCGGCCCCTCTGATAAGTTTTGTAAGAAAGATAAATTTCACCTATCATTAAGCTGGCCAGACTTTTTATATTAACAGTTACTTTTATGGATCACAGGTCATATTCAAGAGTCAATCGGTTCTAGAAGATGTGTCATAAAATTAGCACATAGGGCCAGCCAAATAGCTCAGCGGATTTTTTTTTAAGTGCCTGCAAGTAGGCGCAGGGCCTGGGGTTTGGATCCCCAGGCCAGCATTGCCAGCGCAGGCGCTGGCCCCGCCCCTGGGGTGCACTGAGACACAACTGAGACTAAGTGTGGTGGGCCGTGCTTATAATCCCAGCTCTTGGAAGGCTGTAAACAGGATCTAGCAGTGAGACCCTGAACACCCTGTAGACCCTTCCTTAAAATACAAAAACAAAACAAACAGAATAAAATTAGCATGCTAGTGCTGCCATGCCTCCTTCCCCACAGGCAATTACTTAGATCACTTCTGATTATTTTGCTATTGACCAAACAACCCTAAGTAGCATACTTTCGGGCTATGTTTAGGATTTTTTTTGACTGGTTCAGGCTGCCTTAAGAGCGGGTGTGGGGATCAAGCCATGGTTCCCTGCGCCTGACTGGGTTTTATCAGAGCAGGCGCTTAAACAACTAACTCGCAAGCCCCCACCCCCAGAATATGTTTAAAACAGGCTTTTCTTCATTTTGCTTTGTTTTCTCTGCACACACTAACTCTAACTTTCTGACAAATATCCAAATCTCTTTTTCTATTAATTTTTATCTTCCGTAGCACTCTCACAACACAGCAGTCTGATCTGTTTTATTTTTTATTTTATTTTTTTTTAATTTTTATGTGTGTGTGTGTGTGTGTGTGTGTGTGTGTG